GTGAGCGAATGGTTCGGCAACATGAGGCGCAGGATTCGTGAGGCAACTCGGGGTCTGGGCGTGTGCTGGGAGGAGAAGGTCCGCGTGTACAACTCGGTCATCACGGGCAAGTCGGAGCCATTGCCCATTGAGTCGGGGGACGCTATCAACACGTGGGTCCCGCCCATCTCGCAAGGTAAGGAGGTTCTTGTTTTAAGGATTTTTTTTTTTAAGGATTTTTTTTGTTTAAGGATTTTGTTGTTTTAAGGATTTTTTTTAAGGATTTTTTTGTTTTAAGGATTTTTTTGTTTTAAGGATTTTTTTTTTTTAAGTTTTTTTTGTTGCAAGGAATTTTTTTTAAGGATTTTAAGGAATTTTTAAGGATTTTTTGGTTTTAAGGAATTTTTTGTTTTAAGGATTTTTGTTTTATTTTAATTATTCATCCATATGCCTAGGTATCTATTTACTTTTCTGTCTATCTATTTATTTATCAGTCAATTTATTTATTTAATTCATTTATATATTTGTTTATTTATTCATTTACTTAGTTTTCTATGTCTATTTATATATTATTATTTTTTCAATCTTTATCTTATTAAAAAATAAAATGATTTTTTTTCTTTTTTTTTGAGGCTGGGTTATTCCATCATTTGGATGTTTGGTTTTATCGTCTTGGGTCATTATTTAGGTTTCTATTTTAAGATTCTGGTTTGCTAACATCACCTTTGGGTTCATTTTCTTTATTGTTCTATGGCGAGTCAACCGTATTTGGTTTCTATCTCGTTGGGTCAGGATCAGATTTCCTAAGGTGATTTCCCTGTAATTCCTGTCAGCGATAACTTGTAACTTATTATGATAAGTCTATCAATCAATAACAAATCCTGAGAAATCTTCCTCGACAAATATCCTTGGCGGGGAGGCCGACTAAATTCCCTGTGGCTTCCAGAACCCTCCTCCTTGGACACGAGCGAGGAAGTGTCCGTGACGCCCAAGTTCAAGACGACGCTGCTCCACCGCTACCTCAGCAACTCCTTCGAATCCCCGGGAAGACGCGAGGACGAAGGAAGCGTCGTCAGGCCACCCGCCGCCTCCAGCCCGCCCTTGGGAGACGAATCCAGGGCCGCCCACGATCCTTACGCCTCGCCCGGGACGCTCAAGCCTGTCGTGCTGCCGCTGTGCACGTCAAGCCCCAAGGACAACATCCAGGCTCGCTGGAACACGTCCTTTGAGCACGTGAAGGATACCGCGGTGCTGGTGCCGAGGAAAGTCTCCCAGGGCAAGGCCGAGCACAGGGTGAAGTGCGGTAGGACTCCACTGCTGATGGATGGCAGGATGGAGTCCCTGAAGAGATCCTTCAGCGACTCTTTGAACGAGGAGGACCTCCACTCGCCGGGCGCCAAGAGGCAGCGGTCGACAGAGCCAGCTGTCGAATGGCTCCACCAGGCCTCGACGTCTCAAGAACCCGCTTCGGTCGTCCTGTATCGCCGTCGGTCAGAGGCGTGGGCCTCGGGGGCGCAGGCCAGCACCAGCAGCAGCCTCCACCTGTCTGCCTGGAACGCCCACGCGATATGCGGCGACAGCAGGTCCTCTGGTAGGGTCAGAGGTCAAATCCCTTCTCGTTTTAAAGTTACTAAATCATCTCAAATTATATACATTCCGGATTTTATCTTCTCATAATTTGGTATCATTTCTGGATTTATTTTCCGATACGATTTTCATTTCTTTTATCTTTGAAACTTGTCGTTTCAGGTTCTCATTAATCATTATTATCATTATCATTATTATTTTTACAATATTGTTAGTTGGTTGCATTTCATATTGTAAGAAATAAACGGCAATGGTAGTGTAACACTCATTTTCATAATCGTTCTGAAAATGAATATTCATATGAATATTTTCATACCATTTTAATAATCTTTTTAATGATCATATAGTTTATCAATTCCATTATACCTTCAGCGCGTCTTGCTTATCTCACTGGCATGGTACCATTGCAGATGATGATGGCAGCGACGAGCAGTGCTTCCGACAGCCCGAGGAGCTGGCGGCTGCCTATACACTCATGCAACTGCAACACATGTAACGCACGTGAGGCAGTGGCGTAGCGCGTGGCACACATGGCCAGCTGCAGCACGTGTGGTGCATTTGGCGAGAAATGCGTGCAACATATGGGCGGCTCCCAGCGTGAAGCACATGAGCGGAACGAAGTAGCCCATCAGCTGACTTCAAGAGCCTTGTTTTGCCGCTGAGAAGAAGAGCTTGTTCGCTAACCATCTCATTCCGCTTGTTCTGGTCAAGTCGCTGTGTTCTCTCACCTTCTTGCCCCGCCCCCTCCCCCATAAACGAGGAGAGAAAGTAGGAAAAGGAAAAAGGAAAAAAAAGGCCTCAACATCCTCATGCTTTGGTCTTTCGGAGAGCTGATGTGCTTTCCTGGAGCATTCTCGTCTCAAGTGCCTTTTTGGGGAGGGGGCCGAGGTGGGGGCATTTGGAAACTGTTTCTCTTCTCTTCCTGAGCTCTTCTTTGGACTCCTTCAGATTTCTAGATAGAAAGAAATGAAAATAATAAGTCGTGTGTGAATTGTGCCGTCCTTATACTCCCTCTTTGTGATACTTTAAATCCCACGATGATTTTTTTTAATGCTCATATTATATAATGCATCTTTGGTGTACTTGAATGTGGATATTTAAAGAAATGGACTGTTTGAATGTACATTCGAGTTCCATATACAAACTTTCTTCTAGGAGTTGTTTGTCTCATATGTAACTCTGTCTGGTGAGTGAAAGAATTTAGCTGATAAAAAAAGCCGGGAGAAGAGGTAATTTTCCCACAGTACAACTCCTGTGTACAAATAAGAAATGCCTGAACAATAGACGCTATTTTTTGCGAAATAAAAAAACTTCGGGACATAACAGTGCCTAGTTCTTACATGATGTGAAAATATTTAGTATCTTCGAAGTGATTTCTTTTCTTCCTCATTACCTAGTCGGACGTGAACGTAGCTCGTACATCCAGTGCACTCGTAGAAGACCTTTTGCGAAGTGTGCCCCTCACATCTCTTCGTGCAAGGAGTGATCTAAGAGGATAAACTAAGCAAGCACCAAGCCAGCCGTGACACACCAAGGAAATCGAATGGCAGATCATCTGATGGTTTCTCATTTTCATTAATTTTGCCCAGCTCATAAGCGGGACCAACAGTGAGTCAAATCGTAACCACACTCCACATCTCGACTAGGGAAGTAGCTGGGCTATCTCCAGTCTTTTTTTTTTAATACTGTACTTTTTCCGTTATTACAGTTACTTCAAAGCAGGTCTTTGAACGGTTATAACCATCACTAGCAATATAGCGTGATCACGAAGGTATTTCTAGTTTACGTTTTAGTAAGCTGGTGCGTACATATGCAGGGGCAATCGTTTGTGATTTACAATATTCATTGCGTCTAGTCTTTCAATAACTGCGTTTCCACGGAGAACTGTTATTGGATGTTCTGACTGACAGTGTATAGATGCTTTTACAATACGACTGAGAAATGTATTCACTTCCATAGAAAATGAAAAAAAAAGTTGGAGCAAACTATGTTCCTTCGACAGTGGCTGCTTGTATTATTACAGTGCCTTCAAGATGCCACGAAGTGTACAGGAATCTGTGTGTAGACTCCCGATTGTGACGCCTAGTCAGATGGTAAAATGGTCACCCTCTCCAGGGATGTGATCAAGCAACGTCTCTTCGAAAAGAACGCTTGCTGACTGTTACAGAATCAAGCTAGTCAAAACAGTTCTCTGTCGAAAGAGATTGTAAATATTTACTTTTTTCTCTGCCTTAGTTCTGTATACCCTTATGGTTCTGCACATCTTTTCCTATATGAAGCAAACCCTGAAATATAAACTAGTCAACAAGAAAATACAAAAAACAAACCGGAACAGTCACTCAACAAGATCTAGTCAAAAGGGGACAGGTAGCCATTTCTGAATACTGCGCCGCGAGCTCCAACCTGCCTCCCAAGCCAACTGAAAGAGGATCCAAACAAGGAAAACAGGATCATGTCAGTCTTGCATGTTCCTCCTTCCAAGTCCATCCTTCTAAGGCAGTCCCTGTAAGGTCATCCTTCAAGGCTGTCCTTCGAAGGTCATCCTCTTAAAGCCATTCTTCAAGGGTCATTCTTCGAAAGGAAGAATTTCGAGAGAATGAAGAGGGACTTTTGACTTTTAGACACTCGTCTCTGTTCAATGGGTGCTCCTCGTTCTCTACCTTGAACACTTGTCATTTTCTTTTTGAAATGGCACCAACGTATAGTTCATCTTGAAATTGTCTTATCAGTCTTCGGATGATTTAATAATGAAAATACTTTAAATGATATAAGCATTATTGATGTTCTCTCATGAGCTGTCTATATGCTTGTCTCCAAGAGATTCAAACTAACATCACGATTATTCCTAATTATGTCTGCGTGTCATTAACTGCCGTCATTATTAATCTACCAACTAATAGCCACTTTATACAATAACCAACAACCGAATTACACATAACTCTGACCTGAAACCAACTCGCACAGCCGACAATCACATCTTATTACATTTAAAGAGCGTCATTACTCTCTCTTCATTACTGTTCACTTCTTTTCTTCTGAAGACAACCAGTGCTATGCAGGCAGAATAAATGAATTAGACTGTAGAGCTGTTTCTAACAAATCAAAGGTATTACGGAAAAGATTCGTAAAGCTATCAATTAAAGATCTAAAATCAAAGTATGCAAAATTGTGCACTATTTTCAAATTCATAGACTTCCCCTTATCCTCATTGGTAATTCACCCATTCATTCTTTTCTGTGAGGTTATATCCAAAAATGGATTAGAAAAGTAATTTTTAAAAAGGAAATGGTGAGGTTATAGAATCTAACTGAACCATATTTTCTTCAAGAGACAACCAAACTCACAAGCAAAGGCAAAAGCAAATTTCCCTTTTAGTGGTTAAGTTCATGAGGAAGTTATTGATATATTCATTATGGTTCTAAACTGTGGCCACA